ATACATTTTATTTAATGAAATAAAAAATATTTATACAGTTCAAGTATTTCTTTTAAAATAAATATCAAATACTTTTTAAATATTTTTTCAATTCTATACAATAAAATATTTTTGAATAAAAGATATTTTACCCAATTTCTTAACAAAAACAAACACAAAATATAATTAAGTTAAAAAATATAATCATGTTCAAAACAGTCAACTAAAAAAGTGAATAAAAATCTCAAATATAATATAATATAATATAATATAATATAATATAATATAATATAATATATAATATATAATATATAATATATAATATAATATAAGATAAGATAATATAATATAATATAATATAATATAATATAATATAATATAATATAATATAATATAATATAATATAATATAATATAATATAATATAAATATGTCAAATATCATAAATTTATTATAGTAATACTTGGATATCTTAAAAAATATACTTCTTCTTATATCACTCATGTTTCACTTGAGAGACATCTGAATCTCCCACAATATATATTTGATCCATAATATTAAACAAAAAATAGATAAATATTAATATAATTCTCTTTAATATAATCAACTTAAAAAGTGAATTAAAAATTTTAAATTAATATAATATAAACAACTTCAACACTATAAATTTATTATGATAATACTATGTTTATTCATTAAATTGATTTATATCATATCAATATTAATTAGATTTAAGTTAATAATAAACTCAACAACATCTTATTAACAAAACATATAAAAATTTTTTAAATATAAATCCTCTAAATTAACAAAAAATATATAATAGTGGAAGGGCAAGTCCTATCCCACTTTATTAAGAAATGAAAGAAAAGATAAAATAAATGATAAAATAAAAATAAACAAATAAAATTTGAAAAGATAAATTATAAATAAAAATTTAAATAATGAAGGTCAAAAAGGTTCATGAGAAATATTTCTGAATAAAATGTGATAATACGTTCTATCAAATTAAATTTTATAGGATATATCATTGGTTTGTCACCACTAATCCTAAGATCTGAAAAAATTTATATAAATATTTCAAACATAGTAGTACCCTCATGATCTAGATTTTCTTCGAATCTCTTGCATGTGTTTGTTTTAAAGTAAATACAATTGTTTTCTTAGCTAAACTTGCAAAAACATATAAGATGTCTTATATGAAAATAGAATAGTCGAGTATGAAATTTAATAATAAGATAAACAAATATATAAATAATTATTAGAAAAAGATCGTTTACTGATTGAATTTGTTATCCATAGTAGACATTAAAAAAAAATCTCAAAAAATAATAAATAAGTGAAATGGATAGTAAAAATAGAGTAAAATGAATGTATGATTAAAGATCCTTATAAAGGTGTGTAAGAATATAAAAAGATATTAAATTTTATAACTGTTTTTATATACTACTATTAATATTATTATTATGACCTTTCATTTAGAAAAATAATAACTGATAAACTAAAATAAAGTATTGAATAAAAAAAATTGAATGACAATTTTAAATATTAATTAAGAGATGGAAAAAACTCAAAAATTGTAGGTTGTTATGGAATAGAAAAGAGATAGTTATAGATTTATAATAATTTAAACCAAAATATATTATTATTATTATTATTAAAATTATAATAATATTAAAATTAAAATTAAAGTTAAAATATAGAAATATTAATACTTTTCCAGAGTTGTGTATTTTCTTTTAATATGTTTTCTTTATTATAAGGATACGTAGATTATTTATATAAAATATATTATTTAAAATGCCTATGTAGTATTTATGATTCTACATAAATAAATGCCACACTTTTAAAAAAATAAAATAAAATAGAGAAATATTAGTAGTTTTCTAAATTTATCTATTTTTAATTTTAGTATGTTGTCTTTATTATAAAGATACGTAAATATACATTACCTAAAAATTTATTTTATATAGGGGTATCTAATTTTTTTTTAATCTTTTCTTAATAAAAATGAGGGGGAAAATAAGACAATAAAAATAGTGTAAAAGACTATTATAATTTGTTACTATTACATTAAATATTTTTTTTTGTTTCTATATTTAAATTTATTTATGAATAATATTATAAGTTTTATAAAATATATTACCTAATTGATTTGTGTAGTGTTTGCGGCTCTAAATAAAGAAAAGTCACAAAATATTTTTAGCGGTATTTTTAGCGATAAATAAAATATATCATATATAAATGAGAAGATCATGAGGTTTTATCTATTATAAATTACAAAGAATATTAAAATATATAATATATATATAACTTTTATTACAAAGAATATTATATATAAAACCAATTATTTTATAATCAAAATTGAAATATTTTGAGTAAAAAATATTAAAATTTTAAAATAAATGAAAAAATAATTGTTTATATAAATTTATGTTTTAAAAGTAAATAATAAATGTCTTAATTAAAATTTATTATAATAATAGTAAAATGTAATTGATTTTTAAATAGATATTATGAGTAAGAAATAATTGTTGTAAGAAATAATAAATACAGTGAATTCTAATAGTTGAAACAATTGTTGGAAAATTAAATTCATCGGGTCTAGGAGTATCTAAATATTATTTATCTTTTCTTAATAAAAATGAGGGGGAAAATGAGACAATAAAAGAATATAATGTCAAAGATTATTATTATTTTATACTATTACATTAAATATTTTAGAATAATAAATATTAAAAATAAATTTTTATTGTTTCTATATTTAAATTATTTATATATGATATTATAAATTATATACATAAAATATATTATTTAATTGATATAATTTTTTTCTCCAAGAATCTCGTGTTTGCTTTCTCTTCCACCTTCGTGTGTATCCCTAGCTATCTAGGTGTTTCTCTTCTAGGTTTTCTTCTTTTCGTAGTTGTTGTGGTTTGTCCCTCCTTTATCGCCCCTATTCTTGCTCTTCTTTCTTTGGTTTCGGACGATCCTCACGTCTATCTGGTTGCTGGGTCTACCTCGCATTTTCGTTCGTCTTCTTCCTCTGCGATCTTTCTCATTCAGTTTGGTGGTTTTCTCCATGGAAAAATACTATACGAATTCTTCATGCTCCTTTTCCTTTACTCTGATTAACCCAAAAGATCCTGGTCAAAAATATCAGCAACACAACAACAAGCTTCCACATGCAAGTTGTACTCAAACCCAGAATCATCGTCTAATTCAACGAAACTTCAATCAAGAAATGGTGAATATTGGAATCCACAAACAAAGTTAAATCAACAAAATTGAAATTCCTGCAAGAAACATCAATCTCCAAAACCAAGACTCTAACAAAGACTCAGAGTTGGATCAAAACTTCTTGGTCCATGAGGAAGATGAAATTCAAGACAATGATGTTTGCCTCATCCCTTCTATTTGGGCAGAATTATCACCAGTAAGCGTATTCGCAGAGGTTTTCTTCAAGCTTCTTTTTCTAATATCTAGTGTAATCTTCAGAGACTTACTATTAAAGAAATTGAAAAAGAGATTTTTCAATTCACAATGGAAAACCATGAAGACCATCATCGGATCCTGAAAGGAAGCCCTTGGCTCTTCAGAAATTCTCGGGTCATCCTAAGAGAATGGGATGGTAAAACTGCTCTACACCAACTAGATTTTACCAAATCCCCTATATGGGTTCAAATCTGGGGCCTCCCTATCAACAACAAAACATCTCAGATGGGTATTAAAATAGGATCGAAGTTAGGGGAAACCATGGAGGCAGGAATTTACGAGATGCAAGATAGAACAAACATGGTCAAGGTCAAAGTTATTCTGGAAATTAGCAGGGCTATATCTCTGGCATGTATATCGGTAATAAAAACAACGGAGCGGTTTGGATTGATTTCCGCTATGAAAATCTACCTATGATTTGCTTCTACTGTGGCCTTATGGGACACAATGAATAACATTGCAAACATGAAGTATCCCCAAAGCATGGTATAACTGAAATCAATCCCCTAGGACCCTGGCTCAAGACTACGCAAAAGGGGAGAAAATGTATGGCATAGCAAGACATGAAACATGGTGGCAATCCTATAGGGAAACCAAGTGTTAGCCAGTTCAATCCTATTCTTAAGGAAATGATTGACAAAATGGCTAAACTAAAGGTTTCAGAACAGCCAGTCAGAGACTCCAATTGCTCCATGACAGGAACAATCCAAATTCAACAAAAAAAGAGAAGAATTGAGAAGATTGAAGTCTCCCTAGCACAGTTCCCAACCTCGGGTATTGGCAGCCTTAGTCTACAGGCATCCAGTAGGAAATGAAGATCCTATCCTATAACTGCAGGGGTTTGGGCAAGCCCCAAACCCTCATAGCCCTTAAGAATTTGATTGTCTCAACCAAACCTTCGAAACTAAGAAGCTTAATAATGATGTTGATTTTAACAAAATCTGTAACATGGGGGGTCTTAGTAATAGCCATAGGATTAGTTGTACTTGTAATGGTATAGGAAGGGATGGTGGGTTGGGTCTATTCTGGGTCAATGATGTTACCCTGAATATTAATGATGCTAGTAATAACATGATTGATTTTTACATTGTCTCTAATACTCATAATCATGCTAATTGGAGAGGTACTGCTATATATGGCTACTCCAAATCTAATAAAAAAAACCTTAACTTGCAATTTGATTAATAATCTGGCTCAAAGAAACTCCCATAAAAATTGGCTAATTTTTGGAGACTTTAATCTCATTATATATGACAATGAAAAGGCGGGGGTAACCCTATTCTTCCTCATCTTTCTGACATTATTAATGATACTTTCTCTTGTCAACTTAATGATTTAGGCTATACTGGGAATATGGAGATGTGGACAAATAACCAGCAAGGGGGAGATTTCATCAGGGCAAGACTTGATAGATTTATGGCTAGCAACAACTAGATCACTAATTTTCCCCATTTTTCTAACACTCACCTCCCTAGCATATCATCTGATCATAATCATATTCTCCTTAATTTCTCCTCTAGGCAGGAGATGCCTTCTCCTAGAAATCAGTTCAAAAAACTTCAACGGTTTGACAACATCTGGATAGAGCACCAGGACATAGAGTATATAATTGAGAATATTTGGAAATTCCACAATCACAAGGACACTCAAGATAAAATTCATAATACCCTTGATACTTTGTGTAAATGGGGAAAAAAGACCTATGGGAATCCCACCAAAGTCATTGAAAAAGTGAAAGAGGATATCAACCGCCTCCAGAAAAACAATTCCTACAATCAAAACTATGATAGTATCAGAAATCTCCGGAATAGATTAGACACTCTGCTGCATCAGGAAGATCTGGTGGGCACAAAGAGCTAAGATGCACTAGTTAAAGGAGGGTGATAGAAATACAAAAAATTTCCACATCAAAGCCACATAAAGGAACAGTCAGAATAAGATTAAATCCATCCTTAATATCAGTGGGGAGCTAAACTATAAAGAGGAAGAGATCCAGGATACTTTTGTTAGCTATTTCAAGGAGTTGTTTAAAAGAAACAGTAACAAAAAAGCTCTACCTATAACGCTTCTGAAGACATGTACGACTGATATGAAACACCAGCTTAGCAAACCTTATTCTCCTGAAGAACTTTATATTGCTATGAAGAATCTAAAAGGAGGGGTGGCCCCGGGTCCTGATGGTATTCCTGCATCTTTCTATCAAACGTATTGGCATATAGTTGGTAAAGATATCACACCTACGATGCTGGACATTCTCAATAACCACTATAGCCCTACCACTTTTAACAAAACCTACATCAAACTCATCCCCAAAACTAAAAACCCAACTCAACCTAAAGACTTTAGACATATAGCCTTGTGTAATGTTCTTATGAAAATTATTACAAAGGTTTTGGCTAATAGACTTAAACTTATGCTGCCTAAAATCATTAGCAATAATCAGAGTGCCTTTGTCCATAAGAAACTCACTTCTGATAACACCATGATAATTGAAGCCTTTCACAAACTTAACAGACTGAACAAGCCTAAACATGGACGGGTGGGCATAAAAATTGACATTAAAAATGCTTATGATAGGCTGGAATGGAATTTCATAAGAGAAACTCTTTATAATCTTGATATCCCTAATGGTTTTATCTCATTTATCATGAATTGTATCACTACAGTCAATTTTGATGTTCTTATAAATGGAAATCCTATTGGTAACATTACTCCTACTAGGGGGGTTCACCAAGGGGAAGGGGGGTTCACCAAGGGGATCCCCTATCTCCCTATCTCTTTATTATATGTGCTAACATTTTTTCTGCCCTTATGAAACATGCTCAGGACAGTAAACTTATTATTGGAATTAAAATTTCCAAAACAGCTCCGAACATTACACATCTCCTTTTTGCAGATGACAATCTGCTTTTGTCAAGCCAAAACCAAAGAAGCTAGAAACCTGAGCAAAATCTTTCAGGAGTATCAAGATGGTTCAGGGTAAAAAATTAATTATAACAAATCTGAAATGCAGTTTAGCTCAAGAATAAAGCAGGAGGTAAAGAAAAGTTTCCAAAATATTCTTAACATTCCTATTGTCAGATCCATACAACATTATTTGTGTCTCCTTACTCAGATCAGCAAATCGGGGAATCAAAGCTTAGGATACATTATGGACAGACTCAGAAAAATTTCAGAGTTGGAAGGAAATGACTCTATCTTATGCAGGCAGAGCAACTATTACAAAATCAGTTGCTCAGGTTATTCCCAATTATCTCATGAACTCCTTCCTTCTTCCTAAAGGGATATGCAACAAAATTTACAAACTAATTGCAAAATTCTGGTGGGGGAGGAAAGGATACATTGGAATAAGTGGGATGAGCTATGTAATCCTAAGAAAGATGGTGGTCTCGGATTTAGAAAAACTCATCAATTCAATAAAGCTATGCTTGTAAAATAGATTTGGAGATTGCATACCTCCCCTCAATCCCTAATAGCTAGAACCCTAAAAACTAAATACTATCCTACCACTGACATCCTGGGTGCAAAAATAGGATCTAACCCTAGCTACCTTTGGAGAAGCCTTCATAGCTGCATATGCATCATTAATCAGGGGAGCTATTGAAATATAGGGAATGGTTCTAACATCAATATTTGGGAGCATAATTGGATTCCTAGTCACAAAAATCTTAAAATCCTATTCAGCAAACCAAAGGACAACCCAGTAGTAAAGGTGAACCAACTTATTGATTCTGATAAAGGAATATGGAGGTCAGACATCATTAAAACCCTTTTCAACAATAGTGATATAGAAGACATCCTCCAACTTCCTCTACACAATTTGGAAGAGGAGAATACTCTCTGCTGGAAAGCAACCAAAGATGGTAATTACAATGTTAAGACGGGCTACCACATTATCGTTGATTGGGAATCTAATCCTAACATAGCTAGTAAGATCAACAAAAATGAGAAAGCTATATGGGATAAGATTTGGAGAAGTAAAGCTACTCCTAGACAATAGATCCTGATGTTGAAAATCATGCAAAAAATCATCCCCAGTAAGGAAAACCTTAGTAAGAGAAGGATATCATGTGGCCTCTTTTGTCATAGATGCGCGACAGATATGAAGGACGCTAATCACTGCTTCAAAAATTGTGATTGGGTGCAACATATCTGGCATGGATCCCCTCTTAATCTAAAATTCACTAACCTTAACAAGGACTTCTCATATTGGATAATTGGAAATCTGGAAAATTTGAGCCCTAACAATCTATCCATTCTTATTAACATAATGGATGGAATATGCATGAAATAATATGATCTTCGAAGGAAAGCACATACATGCGGTCAAAACCATTCAACAAACTCTTAACAATGCTTATCAATTCCATCTTGTCAACACCCAACACCTCCCGGAAAAAGATAACATTAACCTCAGAAAGATGAAGAACCAACACAAGAAAGGAGATACAAGGAGGCAAGCATACCTTACGGATCAGAGAAACCCAAGGCTCCAACTAGAATCTGAAAACATTCACCAGAATAGTGAGATTAACAAAAGTAAGAAAACAAATAACAATCAAAACTACTGGAAAAATGTCAAAAGAATGAAGAGAAGCATTAGAATAAACTACCAACACATAAGCGAGGCTAGCAATATTACTAATCAAGACTACATTCACATTCACAATCATCATGAGCAAAGAAAAGAGAATGGTAATACAATCAATACTATGTCCGAAAACACTCACCTCAACAATCAGACGAGAACTCAGGACAAGGCTCACAGAAATTCCAAGAAAAACCTCCACAACACTAACACCTCGATCCATCTGGAACCTGGACACCATCAGAACGAAGACATCTCAAGGAACAACAGGCAAGACAAGTGAAGGGACGACCACAACTCAAAAGATAAAGATTCGAACATCAACATCAACATGCAATACAACAACAAGCGTAAAAAAAAGAGATAAAAATCAGAACGAAATCAGAAGACCTAAGAGTGCAGATCTACAAAGGAATAACAAAGGAAAAAACCCTATCTCACAAGACACAAATGCGAAATCCAGATCAACACAGATGTCAACCTCAAAATCCACGGTCTCTGGGAATTAGGAGCTGTCATCAGTAACAACGAGGATGAAATGTTGGAAGAGATAAGATGGTGTAGAACTGGAGAAGAGGATCCTCTTGAGCTGAAGTTATGGCGATGAATCTTACAGTGAAACATGCGGCGCATCAAAGGTTTCAGAGTGTGCTATGGTATCAGATCACAAAACCATGATTGATATTCTCATCAACCAACACATGCAAGCGGGAAGATTGCTTATCCATATGATGTGTCACCTAATCCTCAAGAAAAAAAGATATTTCACTAAGCTAGATTTCTACCATGCGGAAAGAGAGGAAAACTAAAAGGCCCATAATACTGTAAAAATAATTGTTGAAATAGGTTTTAAAAAAAACATTAATGGGCCTCAGGCCCAGCTCGTTTGAAATTTGCATGACAAATTTTGCTGAGTAATACAAAGTGTTTTTGATTAAAAAAAAGTGTTTGTGATTCTAAATAACTAAAAACCACAAAATAGTTTATAGCGACAAATAAAATATATTATATATAAGATAAATGAAAAAAACGTGAGATTTTAATTATTATTATAATATATATATATATATATATATATATATATATATATATATATATATATATATATATATATATATATATATATATATATATATATATATATATATATATATATATATATATATATATATATATATATATATATATATATATATATATATATATATATATATATATATATATATATATATATATATATATATATATATATATATATATATATATATATATATATATATATATATATATATATATATATATATATATATATATATATATATATATATATATATATATATATATATATATATATATATATATATATATATATATATATATATATGATCTGACCTGATCAGACTTGGACCGTCACGGCTGGCTCCGAGCTGAAGTTTTGAACGAGGTGGGGGTACCTGCAAGACACTCTGATGCTGAAGTGAGTAAGAGCACGAGCAGGCAATAGTAAGAGTATGGGTAGAATGATGAATACCTGACCCTCTAGAAACAGAGGGTATTTATAGCCCCCAGCGCTGGGCCAAGGTTCCTTCATTGGGTCGGGCAGGTTTGGCCCAATGGAGGAACTGCCAGGTTCTACGTGCGTAATAGGGACCTGCACGTGGTCCCCTCCCTGGATGTTCTGCGTGAAGTGCGGGCGGACAGAGACGCGGTCTTTTCGGAGTCCCGTTGAGAGTGCAGTGGACTGAGTCTGCCCTAGGAGGGGTGCTCGAGTTGGAGTCGAGCTGGGCAGTAGGAGGTCGAGCAAGTAGCCCCAGGGAGTACGTCGGGCACGACTGTGATCCTTTGGTCGGCGTGACCCCCAGCAAGTCCGTTTGGATTGAGCCTTATCAATGCTATTGGGCCAGCCGGGCCCAGTCCAGAACAGAAGCCCCCCAAGTCGTGGTTCCTTGGGTTAGGAACCATGGCTTGATCTTAGGTTGCTTCCATTTCGAGGTCCCGTGCCCGGGCTAGAGACGCAGCTCCTCGTGGGGGTACTCGAAGGTTTCCCCGTATCGTGCTCGGGGAATGCTCGGGGATTCCTCAACAGCATGCGCCCGCCGAGCACGCGAGGTATCTTTTGGGAACTGTGCCGCCACCCTATGAGGATAGGGTCATCATTGCCTAGGAGAGCTGCGCGTCGAGGAGGGGAATTCGTTGTTGCCCGAGGTGACGTTTGGTATTCCACGTCATCACTATAAATAGGATCCCTGGGCCCCAGAACGTGTTCCTACTC